ATGTTTTTGTCATTTACAGATTAACCTCTCTGGTTCCCTGTTGTAACTCTTTTCGTTTTGCATAGCCCTTAAGAGTTCATTTCCTAGGTTGGTATCTGGCTAGTACAATCCTGTGTCCTATATTCAGCCTGTGGTCTGATGTTGTTTGTTCTTTGATCGAAGGACTCCCTTTAAAAAGTCTTGTAAGTTTGGTTTGGTTTTTACACAGTCCCTTAATTTCTGTTTATCTGGAAATGACTTAATTTCACCATCATATTTGAACAAGAGTTTTGCAAGACATTATTCTTAGCTGGCAATTTTTTTCTTTCAAAGTTTTATATATGTAATCCCATTGCCTTTTTGCCTGCATGGTTTCTGCCAAATAATCTGAGCTTAGTCTTATTGTTTCTCCTCTGTATGTGACTTTTTGTTTTTATCAAGCTGCTCTCATGATTCTTTGATAGTTTTTGGTTTCAGTGAGTGTGATTATGATATGCCTTGGTGATTTTCTTTTGGGGTCGATCCTGTATGGGGTTTGTTGAGCTTCTTGGATGGTCAGCTTTTCATCTTTCATAATACTGGGGAAGTTTTCTGCCAGTAATTCTTCAATGAACCTCTCTGTTTTGTTTTCTCCCCATTCTGGAACTCTGATCACTGGCAGATTTTTGCTTTTGATTGTATCCCACATAATTCTCAGGGTTTCTTCATTTTTCTTCATTCTTTTTTCTGATTTTTCCTCAGAGTTGTGTCCAAGTGTTTTTCTTCAATTTCGCTGATCCTATCTTCCATCGTTTCAAACTACTCCTCAGCCCTTCTATGACACTGTCCATTTCTGAAATCTTGTTGTTTATCTTTCGGATTTCTAATTGTTGTTTTTGTATGGTTTCTAGTTATGAATTTATTTTAACATTTTGTTCCTGTATTATTTTCTGGAATTCTTCCATTTTATTTTGTCTGTATCTTCCATGAATTTGTCTGCCTTTTCCATGAATTTCTCTATTTTTTCCTCATTTTTATCTGCTTTTTGCTTCAATTCTTGGATAATTCTGAATATTAGAGATTTGAATCTCCCACCAGTTAGGTCTAGTGCCTTTTTTTCTACTGGAAGGTCATCTGGTGCTTTGTTTTGGACGCCTACTGGAACCATCCTGTCCAGTTTTTGTAAATGTTTTGATATGGCCTCTGTCTCTGGGGCATTCAGTGGTTATTTTCCTCATTTATTCACTGTAGATTTGTTTGTTTCATCCTGCTTTTTTGTTTTATTTGGTTATGTCTGAGCAGGCGGGCTGTGCATTCTTTGTTGGTTGCTCATCTGTGGGCACGATACTTTTCACCTCCTTCTCCAATGGGCAGAGTCGGTCACTCAGGTATGGTACAGCAGGGCAGGTCCAGCTGAAGGGGAGTTGCTGGGATGGGTCGTTTGCGGCACATACGAGGGCTGACACTGCAGACCTGGAATCAGTGTAGGGCAGGTTCCAGTAGGTCATGCCTGTGCTGCCTGGGAGTGTGATGTTCAGTGTACACTGCAGGTAGGCAGGAAGGAGGGGGCAGATTGTGATGTGTGGAGCTAAGATGGGTATGGGAAAGATGAGAGAGAGGAGAGAGGAACAGGAGCCAAAAACATACACACAAACAAAAAAGAGTACTAAGGGACCTTGCTATTGGAGTGGAGAGATGAGAGACTGAGAAATGGGGAAAAAATAAAAGTAAAAAAAGAAAAAAAATAGAAAAAGAATTAAAAAAATGAATAAATCGAGAGACCGGAAATTAAGAAAGACAAAAAGGGAATAATAGACAGAAGAAAACAAAACAAAGAAACAAAAATAACCCCCAAAACAAAACAAAACAAAACAAAAGACAAGAAAAACGAAATGTCCCCAGGGATGTCCCTATGTATCTGCACAGAGTAAGGGAGTAGCTTCCAAGTCACGCGGTACTGCCTGGCTAGAAGGGGCTCCTAAGCCGACAAAAGAAAAAGAAAACAAACAAACCAATCAAAACAGAACAAATCAGAGCAAACAAACAAAAATGCCCCGGGAGTCCCACTAGCGTGGTGGCACAAGCCAGGAAGCAGTTTCAGTCAAACGGTGTTTCGCAGCCTTTCAGGAAGAAGCAAAGATGGTGCACGGAGCCAGGTATTTGAGAGAAAGGAGGGGGAGGTGGTGAGAATTAAGGAAGAAATCTAAAGAAGCGGAAAAAAGCAACACCAGCAGCCAACAAAAGGCACTCAGGGAGCCAGCCAGTGCGGGCCGATGGAGTCCAAGAGACACCAGGGTGAAGGTGGTGCTTCCTGGCCAAGAAGACTGTGGCTCCAAGAAGCAGAGGAAGCTAAGTGGGGGTGAAGAAGGGTGGGGGTGGAAAAGCCTATATCGCTGGTTACCGGTTGTTCTGTCTCCTGCTAGAAGCTCTGTGAAGCTGCTTTCTTGTACCCCCTGTTCACTGATCTCCGATAGGAGTCCAAGATGGCGGATCCATGCTGGGTAGCTGATAGGGGACCTCTGCATGTATTTCTCCTTGCTCTTTGTTCTTGGTCAGTTTCTTATTCCATTCGGTGCTTGGCTGAGTTCTTTATCTCTTCATCTGACACTTAGGGTTTCAGAATTAATGTGGTAACTCTGTTTGACTTAGTTTTTCTGATCTTTGCTGTGGAGGGATAGAGTGGTGCTTCTGAATACAGTGCCATGTTGCCCAGAAGTCCTCTCCTTTAATATTTTTTGTAAGGATGGTCTGGTTTTTACAAATTCCCATAATTTCTGGGAATGTCCTAATTTCACCATCATTATTTGACAGATGATTTTGCTTAGTATATGATTCTTGGTTGGCCATTTTTTCCTTTCAGAATTATATATATGTTATCCCATTGTCTTCTTGCCTGCATGATCTCTGCCAAGAAATCACAGCTTAGTATTATTGGAGTCCCTTTGTAGGTGATATTTTGTTTTTAACGAGTTGCTCTCAGAATTCTTCCTGTATCTTTGTACTTGAAAAGTTTGGTATGTGTTGGTGACTTCTTTTGGGGTCTATCCTGTATGGAGTTCGTCGAGCTTCTTGGATGGTTATCTTCTTGTCTTTCATGATATTGAGGACGTTTTATTCCAGCAAACCTTCAAAAATTCGCTCTCCATTTTTTTTTTTTTTTTGGTCTTCTCCTGTTCTGGGATTGTAATTACGTGTAAATCATTCCTCTTCAGAGGGTCCCACATAACTCTTAGGCTTTCTTCACCTTTTTTCGTTCTTTTTTCTGATTGTTCCTCAAACAAACTGGTATGCAGGGATGTCGTCTATTTCACTAATTCTTTCTTCCACTGTTTCAATTTTACTTCTATGTCCTTTCATTGAATTATCTGATATTTCATTGTTAATCTTCTGGATTTCTAGTTGCTGTTTCTATATGATTTCTGTCTATTTATCATTTTGTTCTTATATTGTTTTACTGAATTCTTCTAGGGTTTTGTGTTTTCCTTGATCTCTTTGAGGACCCTATATGTAAGCCTTTTGAATTCCTTATCAGGCAGTTCCATTACCACCTCTTCCTCAGAAAGGTTTTCTGCAACTTTATTTTTGGCATACGTTGGAGCTATCTCGCCTAGTTTCTTTATATGATCTGATATCGTCTGTAATATTAGAAGCATTAAAGTGTTGCTTTATTTATTTTTGATTTTATCAGTGTGGGTGGGTCCAGTGTGCTTCAGTGACTGCCTGTCTGGTGGCACAGAGGCGTTCACTTCCTGCTGCCAGTTGGACAGGTCAATGGCAGGCAGGGCGAGCCCTTGTCACTGTTCACTGCACATGTCAGATAGGTGAGGGCGTAATGGGTGGGCGCTATCTCGCGGTACAGGAATGCTCACAGTTGCTCGCCAGGTGGTGGGTGACAGAGAAGGAGCAATGCGAATATCCAGGGGGTGCTCCATTGGGGAGGGGTGCAGGACAGTTGGTACGCTGGTGCTCTCCCTGGCGGTAGAGGGGCAGGGCTGTCGGCTGGGGGTGGGCAGGTACTCTCTATGATGGGAGGGGGCAGGGCGGGTGACCGGGGTCATACAGGCACTCTCCTTGGCAGTGGGGGGCTGGGGCAGTTGGCCTGGGGGGCACACAGATGCTTCCTTCGGCAGGTGAGGGGCAGACACTCTCTCCAGTAGGAGAGCAGAGGTTGCACAGGTGCTCTCGGATTGGGGGGAGGGGGTGGCCGGGGAAGGGGAAAAGAGAGGGGAAAAAAAAAGGGAGGGGGCTCATCTACTGCTCCATGCTCACCACTCAGCCTACTGGTGAGGTATGGCTGCCATTGGAGAGTCACCCTGTTTCTGGGTCCTGGCTCTGTCCCTGTTCTGTGTACGTTGGGATCCTTCAAGCTCTCCTCCTTCTTCTTGTACTTTCCCTCCTTAATTCTAGTTCATGTCCTGCTCATCTTGCTTCAGTCTGGTCGACACAGTTTCTCTGTCTCTTACTGGGAGTTCCATGAAGTTGTCTTCCTGTGCTCCTTACCTAGGGTTGCTGCTGGCTTTATCTCAAAATGGCCTCACTACGCCAAGCTGTCTGGCAGGGCACCTCCTCTCCCTATCTCTCTCCGTTTGTTGCTGTCATTCAGTTTCTCCTTTCAGTCAGTGTTTGATTTAATTATATATCCTTTCATTTGATATTCAGGCTTCCAGGGTCATCATCTGTATTTTTTCACTTTGTTTCTCGGGTGTTTGCTGTGGAGAGATGGTGTGATGTGTCTGACTAAACCTTTTTCTACTTGTATATACTTTTATTTGCAAATGTTTGCTAGTCACTTTCACACTGATTTCCAATTAACTCCTGTTTCACTGCTGTCTATGAATATTGCATAAAAATATTAAAAACACTGAAGGGAAGCTTAAAATTAAAAAAGTTTCACTCAAACTAAAAGTTAGAGGAGAGGAAGATCAAAAGTTATGAAAATTAGAGCTTACTGGCAATTTTCATTTCAGGAGTCCAAACTTTAGCAGTGAATACTCACAGCAAACTTCACTCAACAGAAAATAAAATCAGCAACCTAGACTCACCAGATGAGCCATAATGCTCAGTTTGTGCAGCGAGGGCTGCCGGTTGAACAGCACCACATCCCCATCTATGAGGTGTCTCTCGACAATGTCACCGTACTTGAGCTCCTGAGCCATCTTTTCCCGATTTCCGTATTTCAAAAACCTAATGTGCCACAATAAACATGGTATCTGAGAGCAAAGTTCCTTCACCAAGTTGTCCCTCTTAGTATCACGATTCAATCTCTAATATGAACATATTTTATCGAATCTAAAATTTCTCCATTTATAAGACCTGTCATTACTTTACGTACCACCAATAAAGAGAAAAAAATTATGAATTAAACTATAGTGTATCATTGATTGTGAAATATATCCTGATTTTTTAAATGTTGAAGTACGAACAAAATGTCTTAAAATCAATGAAATACGGCAAAGAATCAACTTCTCCCACATGACCCTGTTGATAAAATTCTCTGTGAAAAGCTACAGTTAAGAAGATGAATGTCCCTGGATTATCAGTACACTGAAGTCACCCCTGAGAGCCCAGGAGATTCATATGATTCACCCTCCAATGTACTTTGCCCAATTAGACTCAATTAGGTTAAACGAGAGTACGCAACTGATCTCATCTATTTTAAATAATACAATAGAGCCAATGACATACTGAGGGGCTCACTGCAGTTTAAGCAGATGGTACATACATGCCAAACTGTATTACAAAAATGTTTCTCAGACTGCATTCTATGGGTGAGCATGGTGACAGTGAACTCTGTCATGGGAAGGCAGTTAAATCCAGCTAGATTGGAAAGCATTACCTTTTCATATGCGTATGTCTCTGCTGAATGAAATTGGCTCCTGGGTGAACTTCAGGGCCATTTTGAACCAGTTTCCTCAAAAAATTGATGTTTGCTTTGTTCACCTGCAAGACCACAATAAAAACATGAGATACTCTTAGGTTTTTATAAGCTAGCATATGGCACACATACAGACACAGACAGACACACACATACACAGTTGAAACACAGTATATTAATTTTTCTATTCTAGTACAGAGAGACACCCCTGGGCACCCTGCTGTCTAGGGTTTTGAGTGCAAGGAGGACCACGGATTGTCAAACAGGAACCCAGTTTCAGTCTCAACCACGTCACTCACTCACTGGCCTTTGGCTTCCCCATCAGTGAAATGAGTGGGTGGGACTAATCTACAAGGACCTCCCGGCACTCATTCTGTGATCCCAGAAACAGGGGGCAACTTCAACTGCAATTATTTACCATGGGCTTTTAATGTTTAGAAGCCATGAAACGAGAATCACAGGCTCTGGTTTGCACAGGTCAAAGGGTGTTATGTAACCTCCTGGACAACAGTCTCATGGAACACCACTTCACAGAAAGAGACTCTTGGATCGTTAGTAATTCAACAGAGGACATGCCACACAAGCTTTACCGGAAGCATCTGGCCCAAAAATGAAACTTAAGGACAAAGCCAATCCATACTGTCCTATTATCATATCTTGCAGCTACCTAGAAAATTACTGAAGGAAAAAAAAAAAGCACTGTAAATACCCTTTTACACTCACAGTGAGTGTGAACTGGGTGTAATTGAGTGTAAACTGGTGTAGCCTTTCTGGGTATGCAGCAATAGCCTTAAAATGTTCAAACTCAATTGCCTCCATGAGACCTTTGCCATGAGACCAGAAGAACTAAATGGTGCCCGGCTACCATTACAGAACATTTTGATCAAAGACTCTATAGAAAAATCCTGGTCAAAAGGGGGTAAATGCGGAACAGAATTTAACTTCTCATGAAATCCAGACTTTCTGGAGTCATTGAGGCTGGATGACCCCCCTGAGACTATTGTCCTGAGATAACCTTTAAAGCAAAAACTATCCCCTGAAGTCATCTTTACACCAAAGAACAGTCTAGCTTAATTAGTGTAGAGTGTTTGTTTTCAGCATTGTGTTCTTTTAAAGAATTATCTATATAGGATCAAACTGTCAACAGCAACTCCAAAGGTTAGATGAGAAGCTCACGGGGCAATGAGTTTATCTTATATGTGGTGGGATAATCTGGAAAAGGACAGCGAGAATGGTTGCACAATTTGAAGAATATAATCAAGGCAACTGAACTGTACATGCAGAAACTGTCCAACTGGTGTATGTTTTGCTATGTATATTCCCACCAAAAAAAAATACATATACATATATGTACATATACATACATATTTTTTAAATGTTCTCACTCTGACTCACTGATTTTGAAGTTTTTAACATAATTCATGCCAAGAAAATTAAATATGGGTGCTGTTTATCACTTAGTCATTTCTTTTCTTCCAAAGCTGTACATATATATTTTTACCATTTACATTTTTTTCATAATAGAACATCCATAAGGTTCTAATGACAAAAAAAAAAAAAAAAAAAAAAATAGAGCAAATTTTAGAATACTGCTTTTATAAAATACCCTTGTAAATTCTTTGGATATTACTGACATCCATAATCTTTTTCTTGCCCTTTATTCTTGCGTTGCTCTCAGCGTCTTCCTTTGCTTTGGTTATGGCGTGCCGACTTCCCCCATAATGTGTATTGCCTTTCCCTTCACCAATATTAACATGTGTCTTCTTTCGAGTTATTAATTCTCCCCTCCTCCCCTGGTAACCATCAAAGAGTGCTTTTTTCCCCTTCCTGTGTGTAAACCTTTTCTTGTTTTTTAAATAATAGTGGCATTTAATCATTTTAAAACATAAGGTATGAACCAACATAGAAAGATGGCCCAAGATGTCATTTATTAAAAAAAAAAGTTTCAGAACAGTATATATAATATATATATGAATATACACGCATTAAACTAGATGCAACCATGGCTATATGCTGTAGACATTATTATATATACGGTCAATCCTCATTATTTGCAGATTCTACATTTGCAAATGTGCCTACTCTATAAAATTTATTTATAAGCCCCAAATTGTTAATACTCCCGGTGTTTTGCAGTCATTTGCCAACATGGGCATGTGCAGAGCAACAAAATTTTAGTTGTCCAACGTACACGTTCCCAGCTGTCCTACTGAACAAGCTGAACAAGGCTGGTTCAGAATTCGCTAATACGGTGTTTGTGGAGACTTCACAGAACATAGCTGCAGCAAATAACAAGAATCAACTATTATGTATAAAACACACTGGAAAGGTACACACACACCCTCACATACACCCAACTGGGTTATTTGGGTTACTGGGGATTTTCCACTCTTTGTTGTTTGGAACATCAAAACACAATGTAGAAGACTAGGTTTAAAATAAGGAACCAAGAATGGGCCACATAATCCAGAGACTTCATCAGCCTGAGACCAGAAGAACTAGATGGTGCCCTGCTACCACCAATGAATGTCCTGACAGGGAACACAACAGAGGGTCCCTGATGGAGAGTAGAACGATGGGATGCAGAACTCAAATACTAGTAAGAAGACCAGACTTAATGGTCTAAGACTGGAGGCGCCCCAGAAAGCATGGCCCCTGGTCTCTCCATCACCCCAGAACTAAAACAATTTCCAAGGCCAACTCTTCAGACAGGGATTGGACTGGACTGTGGGACATAAAGTGATACTCGCGGAGAATGTGCCTCTTAGACAAGTAGGTATGAGACCAAAGGGGAGGCTTCTGTCCAGAGGTTAGAGGGGAAGGCAGAGAGAGTTAGGAGCCGGTTGAATGTTCATGGGGAATCAGGAGTGGAGGGGAGGAGTGTGCTGTCGCAGAATGGGGTGAGCAGTTGGGGTCCCATAACAACGTATGATAAAAAAAAAAAAAAAAATTCTGTATGGGAGACTAACTTGAAATGTAAACTTCATTTAATTACATCAATTAAAAAAAAAAAACAAAACTGAGGAACTGAGTAGCTGAATGGTAGTTACCTTTTCAGGAAAAGTTAGAATTTTGGCCACATGAACTGGTACTGCTACCTCATCAATCCGGAGGTTGGGGTCAGGTGAGATGACTGTTCTGCCAGAAAAATCCACTCTCTTTCCTGAAAGATTGCCTCTAAATCGTCCTGTACAAATAAAAATATGTCACAGAACCCAAAGGCACAGGATGTGCTGTTTAGAGGATTATATAAACAGAGAAATCAAACAAAGCCTGATTTCTGACTAGATGAGCTTGACATATAGCAAAAACCAAACCTGTTGCCGTCAAGTGGATTCTGACTCACAGTGCCTATAGGATAGAGTAGAACTTGCCCCATATGGTTTCCAAGGAGCAGCTGGTGGATTCGAACTGCCGACCTTTTTGTTAGCAGCCTAACACTTAACCACTGAGCCACCAGGGCTCTGACGCTTCACATATAGGCCAAAAATTTTTTACCAAAGACAGCCAAGTGTTTCCAACACGTTGTGACCAAAACGTACCTTGTTTTCCTTTCAGGCGCTGGACAAAACCTCTGGTCCACTTCTTCGGTGCCATGTTGAGGGGAATGCCTGAGAGCTCGCTGTTAATGTAAAGGGCACACTGCAGCTGCAGGAAGTCCCAGTCCTCCATGATCATCTGCGTCTTGGCGCCAGATATTCGATGCTGAAAATGAGCAGAGAATGAACAGAAACATGATTGTTTCTAGGTCAGCTTGATTTTCGTTTTCTTTAAATTTTATTTATTTTGATGTTGAAGATATACACCAATTCAACAGTTTCTACATGTACAATTCAGTGACATTGACTACATTTGAGTTCTGCAACCATTCTCACCCTCCTTTTCTGAGTTATTCCTCCTTCATTAACATAAACATTCTGCCCTTTAAGGTTCCTGTCTAAACTGTTGAGTTGCCATTGTCAGTTTGATCCCAGATAGATAGTTCTTGAAAGAGCATAAAGCACGGTGCCCGTCTACCACCAATGACAGCTCTGACCAGGATCACAACAGAGGGTTCTGGACAGAGCTGGAGAAGGATGTAGAACAAAATTCTAACTCACAAAAAAAAAGACCAGATTTACTGGCTTAAAGGAGACTGGAGAAACCCCGAGAGTATGGCCCCCAGACACCCTTTTATCTCAGTGGTGAAGTCATTTCTGAGGTTCACCGTTGAGCCGGGGAGTGGACAGCCCCATAAAACCAAATGGGACTAATGAGGTACTGCAGTCCAGGGACAAGGGCCAGAAAGCAGAAGGGGACAGGAAAGTTGGTGATAGGGAACCCAAGATTGAGTAAGGATAGTGTTGATGTGTTGTGAGGTTGTTAACCATTGTCATAGGGCAACATGTGTACTAACTGCTAAATGAGAAACTATTTTGTTCTGTAAGCCTTCATCTTCAGTGAGAATAGCAGCACAATTGGAAGAGCGTAGTCAATGTCACTGAACTGTGCGTGTAGAAATTTTTGAAATGGTGTATCTTTGGCTATGTAT